AGCGGAAGAGAAAAACTAAAGATATACGTCTCATGGCAACTGGAAAAATACACTCTTTAATCCTTTAAAACCTCTGACATGTGCAAAACATAAATTAAAAAGACCTCAGTATATTACAGCTCCAAACTCCAGATCCGAATCCTGGACAAAGAAGCCAAAGAGTTAGATGGAGGAGTCGCGATGGCCCCTTCTCTGATAGTGGCAAACAAGCTGTTCTACTATAACCAACATCCCACTGAGACTCGGAGAGATCAGCCGACACTAACTACACTGACAAAAAGCAGAATTTGAGCATTTACGCTTTTCTTCACTGGGTTGTAATGACATTCATGCTGGCTGCCAAACTGTCATCATCATCACCCTCAAGATCACACAAGTGCCTCTAAGGGACAACTTGATTGCACATTTTGCACCATTGCAGTCCCTCCAGTATGGATTTTCAGACATGACAGGCCCCACTAATGTACAGAGGGTGCAAAAGATGACACCGAGACAAAAGGAGTGTGTCTAACACTCCAATGCTGAGCGGACTACTCAGTTAAAAGGTTCTCGCCTGACAAAAGACAACTGTGGGAGGTGGTTTTAAATATTGCTCAGCATTAATGAGAGTGCTGTATAACTTGTATAGCAGATATCCAGTGCAACTTTGCCTCTGGATTAATAAAGTATTTATCTACCTACCTACAGTGGCTTCAGAAAGTATTCAGATCCCTTTGCAGTTTGCACACTTTATTAAGTTGATGTCTACAACACGTTTTCAGTTTGTCATTATGGGTTATTTTCAGCCTAGAGGGTCTAGTGAGACTCAAAACAAGTGACACTATAAACCACTCTCATACATCCTGTTTCCTAGCAATGCCAAACTACGGGTGCCTGCCTGGGACAAACTGTGCAAAATGCTGCCCCCAGTCCAAAGCCAACATTAGTTTCTGCAAAAAACCCCTCTTCTAACCTTGGCTAGGTGGCAGGCCGGTCTGATTTACAGACTGTACTTTGTTCAGTCAAAGGGACTGAACACACTCTGAAGCTATTTCATCTATCTGGAGACGTAAGTGCACACACTTCCAAACTCAATCAGCATGAAGCTACAGGATGGTAAATGACTTCACCTACACACTCCCCTCACTGGTGGATCATGCTGGAAGATTTTGGTTGACACACTAAGCATACAGTTTCACCAGGGTCAGCATCTTAACAAGCCATTTCTCCATACACCCGGCTGGGTTAAATTAGACACAGACTGCAGAGGCTTTTATAAGTGTCCACTCGCTGTTCACCTTTCATCCACACAGAGCTGATCTAATGATGACTAGAAGCCATGATGGGAGGAAAATTGGCTTTATGATGCAGGCACAATCTTCTAAATGCCTTAACTCGCCTTTCAGAGCTGATGATTTGCTGGTATATTCTCCAAGTCTCCAAGCTGGAGAAAACGGTGCAAATCACCATCAAATGTGTGGACTTAAGCTTGAGCAGTGTATATATAGAATACAAGATTTTAAACAAACCTTCCATAAGCCTAAAGATACTTGCCAAGTCTGCTGACTCTTGTGGGGATTGTCTGCATCCCGGTTGCTGTGAGGTAGCTGCTGTGATTTTACCAGGTCATTGCTAGAACACAGATG